GCATTCCTGGCCTCTGATGCATGTTTCACATTCTCCAAATGTCGGATATTCAGATCACCGCCAAGGTTTAAATGTTGTAGCTGGTTAAGGTTTTCATCTGCTTCACTTCCAACTATAAACATTGACAGTGTTTGAAGATATACCAGTTTTCCAATCCCAGCAGGCATTTTCGTTAATCTGTCACAACCGGTTATGATGAGATGCTTCAGTTTATATAAATTCGCCGTGTGACTTGGCAATTCGGTGAGATTAGAGCAACCACAAAGGTTCATCACCTGTAAATTAAGAAGCTTGCAAACACTCTCGGGTAATGTTTGAATATGAGTATTAGAGAGGTCAAGGAACTTCAAAAATATGAAAAAGGAAATAGATTCATGTAACTTTTTAATGCCGCTACCACTCAAATCCATGACTCTCAAGTATCTGAAACTTGAAAATACACCAGAAGGAACTTCTCCAAGGTTTCCTTTGGGAAGCAATAAGATGAGAGTTCGCAGCTTCTTTGCTTCGTACAAAGCTTCAGGAATCGTGTGCAGCTCAGAACTACATACGACTGATGAGTGACAAATAGACGAGAGATCTCTAGGTGTACATTGCTCCAACATCATGAATTCAGTACCTGCGACGGATTGTGCGAGATCATGGATGAGATCATGCATTTTGCATTCTGTTATATTTCCATCGTGACTTCTCTGTACATCTTGAAAGAAGAACATCCAAACTAAATCGTTGAAGTACTCATTGCCGATAATTTCTAGCGATTTTTTCCCTTCCAGTGACTGTATGAATCCCGCTGCTATCCAGAGCTGGATTAGTCTTTCCTTCTTGATTGCATAGTTTTTAGGAAATATTGAGCAATATGCAAAGCATCCTTTTAGATGTGGTGGCAAATGACTGTAACTCAACCTAAGCGCAGGCAGAGTTCCATTTTTGCTTTCAGACATGTCCCAAAGACCGCTCTCCATGACAAACGCCCATTCTCGTTCGTCCCTTTTGGAGCTCATTACGCTCCCTAAAGTCTTTACTGCCAGAGGAACACCTCCACACTTCTTCACTATTTGTTTACCAATGGGGAACAAGTTTGATCTGTCTTCTTGGTTATGGCCAAAAGCTCGGTGCTTGAACAAATCCCAGCAACTTTCCTCAGAAAGACCTTCCAAATGATAAACATGACTTTTCCCCATTATAGATGCAACTTTTTCATTACGACTAGTGAGGAGGATCGCGCTTCCTTCAGCTCCACTTCTCAACAACGTTCTCAAATCATCCCACTCGCTCTGATCCTCATTCCACACATCATCAAGCACAAGCAAGTACCTCTTTCCAAGCAACAACTCCCGGAGCTGAAACTGCAGGACATCCATCCCCAGAAACTCGCATCTACTTCTACTGGCCGCTTCTACGATCGAAGTCATCACTTTCACCAACTCAAACTCATCATTCACACAGACCCAGATCCTCAAATCAAAATATCTCACTACCCTTTCATCATTATACGCCAACCGAGCAAGTGTCGTCTTCCCAAGACCGCCTAATCCCACAACAGAAACAATCAAAACATTCCCATAATCACCACTACTTCTTCTATCACCCGAGCCCATCAATAGTTTTACTATCTTCTCCTTGTCCTCTTTTCTACCAAACACTTCAGACTCAATCACAAAAGAACCAGTTTGCCTTCCACGTCTACTTCTATAACCTCTATTACTATCAACCCTTCCCTCTCTCAGATTAAACCCAGCTTTCTGTCTAAACAACCTCTCTAACTTCTCCTTAACTTTACTCATTTTCGGTAACAAGTCCCTATAGTTCAAAAAGTGTTCACGAGTTGAATAACTCCTCACCTCATGAAACGGTTTGCCACTCCGGATCTGGGAGATAACTTCACTTAACTCTTCAACGGAGCAGTTTTCGCCGAGGTTTCTGAACAAAATGGCCTCTGGCGAAAACTCATCGATCAAGTGCTCTATATCGTAAGCTACTTCCTTGAGCTCTTCCAGCCACATTCTCAAGGCCCTGTTGGAGAATTGTTGCTCTTCTGCGTCTCCGAGGACTGCGTAAATCATGGGTAAGTACGAGGAGAAGTTGTCGACCTCGTTGCTTATTCCGTAGACGTCGGAGATCTTTCTGAGGAAAGGAGTGGCTAGTTTGTCAAGGACAACTTGTAGAAGAGGTGATAGGAGAACGTCTGCCATTTCTGCAGTTGAAAGAAGGGATCTAGATGGTAAGGGTTTGGTTGGCCCTGTGAAGGGACCGGAGTTGTCAGTGGAGTTGAAGTTCTGACTTTTCTATCCAAACAATAACAAGAATACTTTCGGTTTTATTAGATCGAATCACACCTCAAAGTCACGTAATTTCTTTTCATAAAAATTTAAATTAAATTTTTATTATTATAGCGTTTATTGTTATAATATTTTTTTATTCATAAATTTACTTTTTAAATTAAATTATTAATTAAAATGAGTGAAACAGACGAGAGTTTAATATTATCTGTTAATACACGCTGGTGCCCCATGTATTTTTCCCACTGCTTTGAGGGGCAGTAGCTGGAAAAGTAAGAAACGGCTGCTGGTTGATTAGTCAAAGGATCCTCTCATTTTCATCCATCGTAACTCATGATGAGTCAGCATCTTGTTTTTCAGAGGACATGAAATCAAGAATTTTGTCCACGTCGATGTATTCGAATAAAAAGGTTATTTACACATGTGATCTGTGATCTATTTATTTCATCTATTTAAATTTTATTATAATAAAATTTTTTTAAAAATAATTATATTTAATTTTGTATTATAATAATAAATTTTCATATAAAATTATATCTTAACTCGAATTAAAAATTTAAATCAGTGAATTTAAATATTTGAACTCCGACCTCCAGTGTTAGAGATCTAACTACTAACTATGCTAGGGTTCTCTGAAAATGTACCATTTTAACTCCTCTATTATTAAATTGTCCATTTTCGATCAAAATTTAACATGAAGACGGCTTAGGAGGGTTATAAAACAGATAAAAAAGAATAACAAAAACAATTAAATTAGAAAAAACTTATTCTAAAAGAAAAAAAAAATAAGTAGATCAGATGACACTATATTATTTTTTATTTAGATCTTTGTTTTAGGATTTTTTTCTCAAATCTACTTGTTTTTTTTCTAATATTTTGTCTCTTTAATAGGCCTTATGAGCCATCTTTATACTATATTTTGTCTAAAAATAGATAATTTAGCGACGGAATGACTAAGACCGTATATGGAAACTTTAGGGTAGCTAGACATTTAAAATTAAATGTCAAATTTTTAAGCGTTAATAATGTAAATAATGTTGTAATCTTAATTGTAGAACTAGATATTTCAAATATTTATGGACCCCATTAATATAGCATTTGTCTATGTGAGGTTTCTGGAGCATATGTTGACCTTTCAACGTATCATGCAAGTTGAAGTGATTCAAGAAGTTTTCATGAAACTTGATTTATTAAATCTAGTGTCATCACATATATATATTTGAAGTGCACTATCGAGCAAGCTAAGAAGCTTTCACAAAGCTTATGTATTTGTTGACTTGTAAGACCTTATCTTATCCATGATACTTGTTATTACAAAACAAGTCTTGAAACAACTTCCATGCAACTTCCTTCACCTTGCCGAAAGAGAGTTGAAGACTTTGGTTGTAATCACCCTTCATATATCATGGAAGCTATTAAAGGTTTAACAAAACTTTATTTATTAAATAGTTTACAATTGAAGTCTCCGTCCATGAAGCTTCCCAAAACTTGTCGAGATAGCAAACCCACGAGGCTATATATATACCCCCCCATGCCAAAGAGTTAGCAATATACACTTTTCAAAAATTCCTTTCTTTCCAACATATCTGAAGCTTTTGAAGTTTGTCTATTATTTGTGTAGAGTTCGTAAGAAAAATTGTAGAAATTTGTCACTAAAATTTGTTCTACAATTTTTGTTGTGTCGTTCCTTCTTTCTATTAATTGTTCGTGCACCCTTACAAAATTCACGTCGTTGTATCCTACAAGTTAGACCGCCATAAAGTATATTTTTGTACCCAGATATTATCTAAGAGGGACAATACTTAGCACGTCTAGACTTTATTTATGCATTCAGTAGTATCTCATTTTTAAACAATATTTCCAACAAATAATCCTTAAAATAATAATAATACTAAGTTATGTTTTGGATGATAATTTTATCCACACGATTTGGGGTTTTTTTTTTTGTTTTTTTGTTTTTTTTGGTAAATCACACGATTAGGTGCTTGCCCCCTTTTCAAATAGGGCATGATAAATCCGAATTTTTTAGGATAATTTTAAGGAAAGAACATTTTCTAAGCAAGCCCTTTTTTTTTTTTTTTTTTTGGGGAAAAGAAGAGAAAAGCATGTGAGTGTAAATGCTTTGTTACACAGCCAGCTAATGTAATAAGGCCCCGTTTATTTCGCTATTCGAGTTTAGAATTCGAGTTTTACTACAGTAAAAAGTTCTCACAAACAATTACATTTAACTTTTTTGCTACAATAAAAAGCTCTCACATAAAATCACATATCAACTCGAATTAAAAACTCGAATCAGCGAACTAAACGGGCCCTAAATATACCTCTCCTTATCAGAAAACAAAATAAAGCCACAAAAATTACAAACAAACATATGGAGCGATCTTTCTCCACCCAAAGTGGAAACAAAATATATTTACTCGTTCATGAAAAAAAAAAAAAAAAAAGAGAGTAAAATATAAACTCATGAATACATAATGATTAAAGAAAAAGTAAAAACCGTTATTCATTGGAGTTGCTCATCTTCACGACAATCACATGAGCTTTTCCATCAGAAAACAGGACCGGCTGCAAGAATTTCCTGAGTCAGATTGCTGTCCTTGCCAACCTTGTAGTTCAAGAACACTTCAAAATTTTTCTTGAACAGACCACCCAAATGCAGCAAGGTGTCTTTGTAAGCCTTCTTGTCTGGCCACTGCCACATTAAATTAAAAAAAAAAAAAAAAAAAAAAAAAAAAAACCAGAGAGAAAAGAAAAGAAAAAATGTACATTAGTTCCTTGATGCGTGTAGAGGTCAAAAGCACACAATAATATGAATCATCACTAAATTAGAAGATACAAACTATAAGAGAGAACTAACAGTGTTTATTGGATCCAGGATTTCTGACGGCACGCCCTCGATTTCCGTCGGGATTTCTAAGCCAAAAACTTCAGTCTTGGTATAGTTTGCCTTCAAAAGACTTCCTGAGTGAATGGCATCAATGATCTTCCTTGTGTATGCCAACTTGATACGGCTAACGGACCCATACCTGCCCCCAAAAAAAAAAAAAAAAAGTAAGCATTAATCCTGTAAACCTTATGTACCAAACTGGTCAAATTTTAGTTGGACAATCGCAAGTCACAAGTGACAAAGTCGTTCATCGTGTGAGTTGTGCAAGTCCCAAAATAGAAGTACAATGATCGTTGGCAAGAAATAACAACTTAATAATCATATCACCCTCAACGGTTACTTAGCAATGGTATAATGGCCCGTTCATTTCACCGATTCAAATTTAGAATTCGAGTTTTGCTACAGTAAAAAGCTCTAAAAAATAATCACATCTAAATTTTTTGTTATAGTAAAAAATTATCACATAAAGTCACATCTTAACACGAATTAAAAATTTGAATCAGCGAATTAAACAAATCTAATATTTCGTACCTTCCACCAGACCAGCCGGTGTTAACCAACCATCCGGTAGCCCCGTGCTTTTGCATCTTCTCAGCCAGCATAGTTGCATATTTTGTAGGATGCATCATTATAAATGCTGCCCCAAAGCAGGCAGAGAATGTAGCCCGTGGCTCCTTCACCCCATCTTCTGTTCCAGCCACCTATTTTGTGTCACCACCATAAACTATTGGTATTACTGCCTTTTCACAAATAACAAAATCTAATTAATCTTTCATCAAATTTGAAAGTAGAAGCTAAAGTCAAATAAGTACCAGAGCAGTGTAGCCACTAATGAAGTGGTACATAGTCTGAGCCAAGCTCAGCTTGCTCACTGGTGGAAGGACGCCGAATGCGTCACAGGCGAGAAGGATGACGTTCTTTGGATGCTGTCCAACACAGGGTATTTTGGCGTTCGGAATGTATTCAATTGGATATGCTGCTCTAGTGTTCTCTGAAACCATTAAGAGCCAAGTCAAACACATGAATCTCAATGGAATGCATTTTAATACTTGCATTGTTTTAGTGCATGCGTTATTCATGAATTTTTCAGCTTGTTCAAACCTGTTACAGAGCTGTCCGAGTAATCCACTTCTCGGGTATGCTCATCAAACACCACATTCTCCAACACTGCAAAACATAATATTGAGCTAACTCAAGACCTTTTTCCAAGATCAAAAGGCTAAAATTGCAATAGGGTTCTAATAGCAGTTTTTACCGGTCCCAAACTTGATAGCATTCCAAATATCTGGCTCCTTTTCTCTAGACAAATCAATGCACTTAGCATAGCAGCCTCCTTCAATGTTCGACACACCATTCTCACCCCAGCAGTGCTCGTCATCTCCGATTAAGTATCTATTATGATCGGTGGAAAGAGTCGTCTTCCCGGTGCCTAGAACAATCCAAAGGATCAAAAGCAAAACAAAGTAAGGAAAAAGTGCTGACAGATTTTTTGCAAGTGATATTTAGCATTTTTCTTCCTCAAGGTACCTGACAATCCGAAGAAAAGGGCAACATCGCCATCTTTGCCCATGTTGCAGCCGGAGTGAAGGGAGAGGATCTGGCGCTTAGGCATGAGATAGTGCATTACACCGAAGAGACCTTTCTTCATTTCTCCGGCATACTGGGTTCCCAAGATGACCATTTCCCTCCTAGCCAGATTGAGGTCTATGCTTGTAGAGGAAGTCATGTAGTGAGTGTAACGGTTACATGGGAACTGCCCAGCATTGTATATAGTGAAATCCGGGGTCCCAAAATCCTCCAGCTCTTCCGGAGTAGGTCGGATACACCTGAAAACTATAAAGGTTAATGTCTCTACATTTTCTAGTTCTATTAAGTTATGGCCAGAACTATGCAGAACCAATTTATTAAGCGTTGGGTGACGGACAAATCAATTTAAAATGTTGAATTTTGAACTATTTTTATTACGTGAGACCAAATAACAAAAAATTTCACCTGTTCGGATCCTTATAGATGATTATCCGCGATGCATTGCACGACTAGGTTTTAAGCGAACTCTTTTAAGTTATCCATTAATATGTAATACTACTTGTATTTTTTTATGAAGTTAAAGCATTTTGGGCTTTTAGCTTACATGTTGTGCATAAAGAGGGAGTGGTAAGCTCTTGCAGATACAATCCGAACTTTGATTTGGTTCTCTGGATCCCAGTTCAGAAATTGGTCATTCACAAATACCTGAAAAGAAAATTCACCACAATTATCATTTTTTGCTAACTTAATGATGGAGATAAATAATTATGGCCACATTAAAGGATCAGAGAGACTTGTGATTGACTACTTGTTATACCATTTTCCTCTTCATATTTGCCCACTTGGGAAGTGGTAGTGCAATACGTGACGAAAGCCACTTTCAAACTTGCACAAAATGAAATAATCTAGTGTGTTGTCCTATATGAAAAAAAAAAAAATCCACTGACAACAACAAATAAATAGATAAATAAATAAACCACTAACGACAATACAGTGATGACAACAAACCATGCTAAATCATATTCCTGTTTATCACAAGAAACAGTAACTCCTAACAGAGTTTCTTTTCAAGAATATTGTGCTACTGTTTTATTGGGCGCTAACTGATCAGCACTGAATCAACAAAAAAAAAAAGGAACGGTCTTATGAACATAGGCAAAACAGTAGTTATGGATGAATACTTAGGCCCACAGAAAAATAAAAAAGAAAAACTATTTAACTATGATTATCAGTTTCCTTCACAGTTTTCATCCTTTCTCTTTCCATTCTCTGTTTCGTCTATTAATGGACTACCTGTTTCTATCATAAACGTAAGACCAAAGGGCAAAGGTGGTGCCCCTAGTTTCAGGAATTGTGACAGCAAGCATATTTTGACTTTTTATTTTTATTTTTTATTATTGCCATACAGGTATACACTCCTCTATTTATATATTATTATTTGCAAAAAATTGTCATATCATAAACATATTAAGGATCAAAGTCTCTATTGTTGCCCTCCACGAATTTATCTTAAAGTTTGAAGATGGAATGTGACATAACAACTAACAATAGCGATTTTGATCCCCCTGTTGCCTAAAATTTTTACTATATAAAATAGTTCAAGATATTATTATTCACTTACAAAATCTCTGATTTTTCTAAACCGAAAAATGGCTATCCTAAAAGTTCCTTATATATTATTACCAGATTACAGTACAATAATAAATTATATGTAGAGGAGCACATAACAGAGGAATACAGTTTCGCCACAATATGGTGGAAAGTTCAAGTGTCTAGTTGACAATAGTCATAGTTTATACAACAAAATATAAGGTCCATTTAGTTTGCTGATTCGAGTTTTTAATTCGAGTTGAGATGTGAGTTTATGTGAGAGTTTTTTACTGACTATTCTTAAAAGTTTTTTTACTGTAATAAAACTCAAATTTTAAACTCGAATCGGCAAAATAAACACGGTCATATCATGAGTTATTTCAAAGAAATTGAGAATAATTTGGTACTTTTTTGTACCATGAAATGGCGACACAATCTAGTCATCTTATCTTACACCGAGAAATTAATGGATAACTATCAACCAAAGCTGACTTTTATGATTACACGTTTGTCCCTCTATTATTATAAAAGACCCTTTTTTCCTGCTAAGCTATAATTTGAAGTTTTGAGAAACTAACAACTAGAAAAACCAATCTAATCTAATCAAGTTTCTAATTGTTAATTACGTAATTTAAGCCTGCAAACAGTGGACAGATAATGTACATGTTTAATTAAGAGATTAAGTAATTAATCACATGCTAACTGAGTGATCGGATGATCGAATACCGCATAAGTTGACAAAAATAAAAACCCTTCTTTGATTGAGGTTTTTTTTTTTTTTTTTTTTTTTTTGGGTTCATTGCACCCGTTTTTAATTTGTAGTAGGAAAGTACCTTGTCCAAGGAGTTCAAGTAATCCACAGCCCTTTCTCTGTTCACTAAGAAAGTGTGTTCGTCCATCTCAATATTAGGAGATCCCCTATATATATATATATATATATATAGTTTTGCACATAAAATACAAATTAGATCAAAAAATCAAATGGAAACAAATAGTCATATCAATGAAGATAAAGATGATCATGATAAGATTGAAAGAAAGTAGGTACATACTTTCCCCACCAAAGCTCATCTTCAGTAGTCTCATCTATGACGATACGTTTGTCTCTGGGCGCTCGGCCTGTCTTTGCCCCAGAAAGTGTGGCCAATGCGCCGGTCGACGTTATGAATGACCCTTTCTCGTACTTTATAGCTTGCTCGTACAATTCTGAATATAGTTACAAAATCAGTATGATATTATGTGGCTTTTTGTGGTAAGCGGTGCATGTTTTTAAATGTTAGATCTGATCAAAATGATAACGCATCACGATTGATACAATCTACAATGGTAAGATGTTAAGTGAGAAAAAAAAAAACATATGTTTACCAGCAGGAGAAAGGTTGTAGAGGACGTGGGTAAACTTGAGGGCACTGTCACTGCTAATGCCAATGGAGGGAGGTGCGGCACTGTAATGCGTGCTCTCTGACTTCCTTTCCGGGTCTCCCTTTACCAACTTTGGTCCTGTTTCTCTCGTCAATGACGCCAACGAAGCACTATATTATCCAATCCAACACCCAATTAATCACGTTTATCAACTAATTTATTATTTTCTTCAAAATGGGCATTACTACTACGCAAAAAATATTATCAAAGACTTTGTTATATATATGGATGACTACGTTTTTATATGATATTTACTCATCAAATATAGAAGTTTATTATTTATATTGTGTTATAAAAGAGAGAATTCGAACATTATATTTTTATATGATAAAGCCAGATGAAAACCATTAAGAAATTAAAAAATAATAATAATACTATATAACAAACAGTAACGATCGCCACAAGTAATACTGATCATTTTTAACCCTGAAAACGATCTGAAAAACCATTGTACTAAAACTAGAAGAAACGCCGGTTAATTTCAGAAGGCATGAAAGTGTGTGCGTGCATCTGTACATATATTTGTGTAATATGTATGAATATATAAATATATATATATATGTATGTATGTATACCTGATGGACTGGAGTTGCTGCTTGTGACGATCCTCCTCAGAAATGGCGGCGAAAACAGCTCCTGCGGGCTGAGATGCTCCAACTCCAATTCCAACTCCTCTGATGGGGGTGGTGGGAGTGGATCTCTTCTTCTGAAGAGAATGAAGCTCGCCAAGCGTCTGAGCCTTGACCGGCGTTGCGCTGTCGTCGTGGCAAACCTCCTCCGACCACTCCGCCTTGTTCGTCTGTATCTTCGGCAGCCCCCTTCTCCCTAAACTCCCACTCCTTCCCAACCTCAACTCTCCGTTTTCTGCCATCTTCAGTACTTCTCTGCCCTGACCTGCCCTGCCCTGCAAAAACATCATATATATATATATATACATATATATATATATATATTATCATCATTTTCACTCTCAACTTTTTCTTAATTATATACATAAGACAGTACTGCAAGTCTGCAAAAGATCATATAAACGATAGTTTTTTGAATTAATACCTGAAAGAAGGGGAATTATTGATGGATGGATTATGAGACGTGTGTGTGTGTTTTGAGTTTGTTTGATATGAGGAGTGGGAAATATATATTTGGTATTTAAAGGATGTATTCGCCCTTCAGGACAGGAACAGAGGAGCTCACGGAATTAAAATTTGTTTTTCTTTTCTCTCTCTTTTTTTTTTTTTTTTGGCGGTTTGGGGGATTAAAATTAGAAAAGTCCAAAAAATTGGAAGTAAATGCGAAACTATAATGGATAACGACGATCGAAGATGTCAAGCCTTGCATACGTAAGTTGCTGCTGGCAATGGCATATAGATAGATAAATATATATATATATATATATATTAACATGTATATATATAACAGTTAGCTGTACACGTCTTTTGATATTATTATTTTTTAATTTCCCAGTTTTAGGAACATGTCTCTTGGAAAATGCGAAAATAATATATGTGTTGATATTCGGTTTCAACATTCACGTGCTAATCTATATGTTTGATTGGTGTGTGTGACAATATAGTCAAAAGAAACGCAACAGTATAACAATTTACAATAGTCAGCATTCAGCGGAATTCGGGGGGAAAAAAAAATACAGTAGTCAGCATAATGGGAGACGACAGAAGGGACTTTTTTGAGTGGGAGCCTCTTACTTACCGGGCCAGTTTTTACCATTAAAATTTATTTTAAATTATATCAGATTGAAAGAAATGAAGAATAGATAATTTGTAATATAAATCTAATAGCTGAAAGTAGAGAATTATAGAGAAATTCTCAATACAAAAATCCATTGGTTCCCTGATAATAATTGCCTTTTTTTTTTTTAAGAAAAAAAAAATGGATAATTGCTTTAGTGGTTCCTTGAAATGATAAAACAATTGAGAAAGTGATGTATGATCTAATTCTGTATATATCAATTGGACCATTTGTACTGTTCGATTAGAAACGGCATTTTGCATTGGAGAGTATAGACTCCCTGGATGATGAATGGAAAAATAACGATCACTCTCTATGGAACCGAATTCATAGGCCATATTAATGGGATAAGGAGAAACTAAAACACGGATAATTAATGGTCGCCAACTCACATCCTTCCATGTTACCATGTGACTACTTTTCTTCTTCTAAGCTGATGAAGTCCATTTGCAAAATAAAAGAGGAAAACAGCAAAATATGTATACATACAATATACAAACTTTAATAACATTTTTATTATTTAGCAAAAAAATCACATTTTTACTATACGGTAAAAAATGGAATTAATCATTGGTCTAAGATTACGATGGTGATAGGTATATATTTTATCTTATGTTGAACCTTATTTTACCGGTAATAATAGCAAGATTCACTACTTGATCAAATTGGATAATTTGGCGCGGCAAATATCAATAATAGAATGATAGTTAATTCACCCCAATTAATATTAAAAGAATAATGATAGGACAAATTCCGATATTAATTCTTGTGTGCTAAATAATTTGATATGTGAGTCTTTATTTTTATATTAGTGAGTATTTAAAACATTGTCACGTTAATTAATGCTAAAAGATTACATTTGTCAATAAAAAGACGATAACTCACATAACACATCAGTTGATACATAAAAATTGAGATTAGAGTTAATGTCCCTAACATTACTCATATTAAAAAAAGATCAACAACATTATTTTTTCTAAATAGTCTGCCAAATTTTAATATTCTAATTGAATTCCAATTTAAAGTATTTCCTCTCTCTCTCTCACCGTCAGCTTTGACTTTCTTTATTTTCACATAAATTATGATAAATGAAGTGGATCAAAATATATAATTTTTATATAAAAGTTTACATCTCTTTAATGGACATATAAAGCTTTCTTAAAAGAAATACCACAAATTTATGCTTTGAATTGATTTATGATATGAAAAGTAGTTATTGGAAGGAATATCATGCCATTCTAAATATCAAATACGCCTTTAAAATTATCATATTAAGATACCGGTAATAGCCATCGGCAATCCATTAATATCCTACAATTATATTGAGGCTAGTTTGTCGCGTGATACTAAAAAATAATTGCGAATAGTAAGTTGGTATCCGTCGATATCCTGTCATGATACTTGTGAGAATTCCGCTATGATAGTAAAAATTCCTATACATGACAGTTGCCGGTCGGTATCATAGCGTAATACTTCAGAGTAGTCTACCATAATATTGAAAATTCTAAGAACAAACAATATCATCGACCCCAATTGTGCTATCACTAATTTCGCACCTTAATGCAAGTAATATATACACACACAAAAATGATTGATTTTTTTTTTTTTCACTAAAACATTTTAAACAACCACAAACAAAATCACAAAACGCCACAGACATAAAAAAAAACATTATCACATCATTTGGGTGCTATCACTAATTTGGCACCTTAATGAAAGTAATATATACACACAAAAATGATTGATTTTTTTTTTTCCACAAAAACATTTTAAACAACCACAAACAAAATCACAAAACGCCAGACATAAAAAATCCCAACCAACGACGATAATCTGCGAATCACACTATCAGGAACACCGTTGTGAAGATAGCATAGTGAGGAGGTTCGAGGCTTTGTGAGTTCATTATCACATCTTCGTAGTCACAAGTCTTAGAGCATATTGTAAATTTAATATTTGAATGTAAAAAATTTTTCTTGTACAATTTTATTTATTGTGTCAAATTTCTCACATGCTATAATTAATGAAAAAGTATAACATATGAAAAATTTGACATTTGATCACTATTGGTTGAAATATTTATTTTTTCCATGTAATTGATGCAACTTTTACATTTTTTTTATTATTTTAAAAATAAAAATTTATTTTTACAACTTTCAAATCTTAATAATTATAAGAAAAAATAGATTTAGTATTTCAAATAGCATTATGTATTAAAGTAAAAATGAAAATAATATATCATATCATATTTTTTTATATTAAATATATAATTAGTATTAGTATTTACACTGAAGATGGCTTGCAGACAACCAGCAACGACCTGCATCGGGGAAGAGAGAGGGTGATCAGGAGAGAAAAAGATGGTGGTAGAGAGAGAGAGAGGGGTATTTTGAGAAGAAAGAGATAAAAATATAGAAATTAAGGGGGAAATTAGAAAATAAAATTATGTTATTATTTACTAAATTTTGTAATATGCTACTTTCTACCTTGGAGGTGTCTCTGTAATTTAATTTAAGCAACACACACAGGATTTTTAGTCTAATTTTCTCTAATTTTCCCAATAAAAAATGTGCAGCATAGGGTCAACTAAAGCCCACGGAGAAAAGTCTTACTAGACCCAGTGGGCTTGAGATTACCAAACTATGAAGTTATATGAAGGTTGAAGCCTGACTGAGTCCCTGAAATCTTGAGCCCAAAAAAAATAAGGGAGAAAGAGAGAAATAGACTAAGACTTGAATTAAAATTAATAAGTCAATAGTTTACATAAGTTAATAAATAGGCTAAATTATTATTTTCGTCCATAACTTGTCTGGTTATGAACCATAACTTGACAAGTTATTGTCCATAATTGTCTATAACTTGTCTGGCTATGAACCATAACTTAACAAGTTTGTCCATAACTTATCTGATTATGAACCATAACTTGACAAGTTATGGCCTATTAATTTCTATAACTAAAAATTAGCCTATATACTTTCTTAAGCTTTTCATATTGGCATATTTTCTACTATTTCCTAAAAAATAATAATAATAATAATAATAACACACCTCATGGGTAATGAGCATTGATTTCGTAGGTCTGGGACAAATTAGGGAAGGAATGTCGAGTATGAAGATTTATGTCTTTCATTTTATTGTTAGAAGATTTATGGCCTGAGATACTCCCTTTATCTTTGTTAACTCAGATAGAGAAATGAGTGACACAAAATTTATGTACTCCCTTTATATATATATTTTAACTTAAGTCTCTCTCATGACGGTTGGGCATATTAGATGACAGTTTTGGAGAAACAATGGTCCAAAAACGTATAACAATATCCAAAACAATGAAATTGAATGTGCTTCTTTTTTCCATGTATATTACACAGCACAAAAAGTCCGTTGTGCAATCTGTAATACGGAGTAGTGCATTTTAGCCCTACGATCCCATTGCAATAAAAACTATGTTCTAGATATATGACTAAGAAAGATGAAATAATTAGAAATGGGAAAAGCGCAATTCATATATTGTAGCTAGATTAATGACTTAAATTATAAAATGCCATGGAATATTTCAAAATCTCTTTATTTTCTACCCGAAAATTGGCTAATACCTTTATATATGTGTGCGTGCGCGCACAGTTCTGAATAATGTGGTGATATTTATAGATGATCAGTCGTTACTACATGTTGAAGTTGATATCTAATATTTATGCACCAAAGAAGGAAATGACGATTTGATCAATTAGGAAATATACGCATGTGCTCATGAAGTACACTGGCAATTAGGGAATGAGTGATATAGAACGGGAAATGTGAAAATATTGATTTCATTTCTGTGCTAGTGACAACGTGCGAAAATATATGATATCTGTGTATTGGCTCAGAGGCCTTATAAATATTACAAACTTTTTAATCCCCTCCCAAGTGATCAATTCTCTCCATTTCAGCCTAGCTATTGTGAACCTTATATTATTAATTTATTCCGCTTATTATTGTTTCCCGCCTCTGATGATCTCTCTCACTCTCTTTTTCGTTTTAGCTTATATCAGATTCAGACTGTAATCCATATCCTAAGTCATATATTCATAACAAAAAGGGGGGAAAAAAAAGGTCACTAAAATGATGAACGATGCCACTTTGAAGGATGCATAGATGGGCTATCTTATTATTTTTATTTTTATTTTTATTTATTTAATTAATGCAATTAGCAGTTTTGTTGAGAACTGCGCAATTGGCTCGCACTCTGTTCAACATTTCAACTTTTCTTTCTTGAACATTGAGTTTTTTATCAGTAGTACACATATGTAACCTAGTACAAGCTAAGCATATACACAGTTGATATTATAAGTATTTTCAAGTTTTAAAAGAATAGATAAAGAGGACATTTTCCCGAGAAAATGTTGGGTACAAGTTATGCAGTTATCTTGGAAGGCACCCCATGATATTGTACTAAATTAAAGGCTGGTTTAATTCAATCGAAAGGCTGTCGCGTTTGAAAACCCTAATCAGATCAACTGGGCATGCACGAGTCGGATTAAGAGCTGGACATCTGTTTTTAGCTTCTCTTCTTTGATTAGTTTATCTTAAAAACACAATCAGATCATACTTTGCAAGATTATATATATATATATATATATATGTATAATATATATCAGAGAGAAAACAACTGATCTGCAGAATAGACCTAATAGCTAGTTGGCATTCTTCTGTACGGCAAGACTGTCGGGTATTATTACACTTATTATATATCCGATTCATTATTGCAATAATAAATCTATAAGTGGCACTACTAAAGCAATTTTTCTTGGTTTGATGCGTATATTTTTATTCGTATTGGTCCATAATTTTTTATTGATCCATCGGTGATGCAATAGAATGTCCGATTAATCCTCATGACTAAACATGTTAAGTAACTTAAAATCAATCTACAAGTAACGAGAATGAATGATCGATCAATCCTCAACGAACATATTAAATAACGCAATTTGAAATAAAAAAGAATAAGATGGATCAATCCTCAACGAACATATTAAATAACGCAATTTGAAATAAAAAAAGAATAAGATCGATTAATCCTCAACGAACATATTAAATAACGTAATTTTAAAAAAAAAAAGATCGCGGATAGTATACGTAAAAATAAAAATAAAAATAAAAAAAACAAAAAAGACGCATTTTGGCAATTTTTTCATGGAAAATAGGCAATTTTTTTTTTTTATAGCTGTGTGTCTTTTGCTACATTCTCACCTTCTCTAAAATATAAGCACAAACCATATGTATACACTTCCAACTTCTTGATGATATGTTTGTTATCGTATGTATTCCGTACTTGGAATACCAACTCTTGAGCACTTTCTTCAATATTAATTGATGGCACATGTTTCTTGACTGAAGAATACATATGTGCAATAGATATATAATAATCGAATTATTTTTAAAGTAACACTCGATAGCTGGCTATAACATAATTAATGACAAGATGAATGAATCATATTTGAAATTAATGTGGCTTCATAATTAGCAAAAGGAAAAAGTGTGGTTAATTTAGTGATTTCCTTTATCATAATTAATCAAATCTACGCTGCTTACGGCTCCATTTTCAAGTTATCGACGTAAATTTTGTGATCCTCCTATAGTTTTTAAGTTAAAATTGATTAAGTTACATCCAAATTATGAGCTAGTAATAAGAAAAAGGGTATAAAAGATTTTTTTTTTTCTTCTTCTTCTCTTTTATTGTTAGCTATTGAATGAAGTTTTACAAACTACAATGTGACAAATTGATATATTGATGGAAGAAAAAGCTACACGTGGAGGCTAATATGTATAAAATCAATTAAAAGAAAATGAGAATTGTTGCCCCCAGCCAAACGGGAAAAAAAAGAAGAAACTTTCTAGTCGGAACTGAACAAATAAATTATCAATATTTTTTACTTTTGAACCGTTAGAATTGTATTAAAAATTATTTATTTTGTGTATTTTTTTAATCTAATAGAATTGTATTAGAAATTATTTGTTATGCGTATTTTTTTAATTTAATATAATTTTGACTAAATTTAACGTTAAAAAATTGACACTAAATATAGAAAGGCTTACCGAAAAATGTTAAAAAAAAAAAAAATACTACCCAAAGAAATGTCATGTCAGCAGTGTACTATTGAAGAATTAGGATATACGTGATCTTTATAAATTGTGAGTATAGTTCTTCTCCACGACTTTTTGGGAAAGTAGTGGCAAATGGAGACCCTGAAATCTTTGAAAGCAATCTCTATCACATATCTTCACGCCCCACCTCTTCACACCTTATCTTTTTCAATTCTTCTTAATTTTCTTTCATATTTTCAGATTTAGATTTTCATCTAATCTAATGGCTGTGACTTTTGATGAATATATATATATATATATATATAGACAACTGCTCTTAATTAACCGTTGGATTAGCTCGAGCTGTTTGCAGTAACAAGCGATCCAACGGCTGACAATTTCCAAATAAAGTATTTATATAATTAATATTGACATTTGATACCTTCAGTTATTACTTAGGCAATAATTAAATTATGAGACGTTAATTTGAACTAAAAAAGAAGACACTATAAATAGTTATTTGACATTTGTAAGTTTATTTATTTATTTGACATTGCAAATATGGGCAAATAGCGAAACACCAAGATATAAGGCAAACAAATTGTAAGAGGAAAGGGAGTAATTCATGTTTGATATATTTAATTCCAATTATTTACGACTACTCAATGTAGCAATACATTTGTTATATTCAATTATAAATTTTCATTCTAGTAAAACAATTGTATCACAACATCATTTAGTACCTAAAATTGTTAAATAGTTTAGGACCCTCAGCATTATTCTTGGGAATAATATAAACTGCCATCACCTCCATCCATTAATCTTTCTAATAAGTAACCAAACTAACTAGATTATCTTTAACCAAGCCATATATAATCTGAACATTTCTATCCTTATGAAATTATGAACCAATCAGGTCTTCCCCGGAACGAGAGTTCTTTTTTTTTTTAAATTTATTTATTCTCTCATAACACAAACTACCAAAATGGAAAAAAAAATAAAAATAAAAATAAAAACCAAAATAAGGAACAGAACTAAAAGAAACAAATAATATTATACACAAATAGGAGAACCATACTTCAATGTCGAAAAAACAAAGCAAATCAGAAGTTTCGAACACAAAAATATCGTTTAAATTATGAAGACAAGAGATGTGGGAAAATGATAGATAGGCATCTCAAATTTTTTTCATAAAATTAAGAGAGAGAAAAAATTTTGAAAAACCAAAATCTTTGTTGATTAAGAAAAATGTGGGGTCCAGAATTGGAGAGAGTGATAGAGGCTGGGGAAGAGTGCGGATAAAACGTGCCTTCCACCCGCCAATCAGAACTCGAAGAAATCACAAAGCCCATCCCCATTTTCCATTTTCTTCCTCCCAAAAATAAAAAAATTACATCTCTTTCTTCTTTTCTATCTTTAAAGACTCACTTCATAGGGAGTGGGTCAATTTTTTGTGCCAAAAAAAAAAAAAAAACTTTTCCAATTTATCTGCCAAAAAAAAAAAAAAAACAACAACCAAATTCAGCTCAACTGCTTCTCTCTGCCGCCCATTCCTTTCGTCTTTGCGACCTTGTTCTGTGAAATCCTTCTAGGGTTAGCGCTTTCGGACGACGTCGTCTCGTGGACGCCATGGCCGTCTCGACCAGCTTTGCCGGCGCGAAATTGGAGGCTCTGCTGCTGAATACGGCGTCGTCCTCGAGGGTTTCCTCGGCTTCTTCTTCTTCCTCGCAGTTGTCGTCTTTCTGCAAGCCGATTCGGAGCCGGAGAGTCCTAATTCAGAGGGGCGTCCGCTGCGAGGTCGCCTCCTCCGATGCCTCGCTTCAGACCGACAAGCTGGCCTCTTCCAATATCTCCGCTCTCGAGCAGCTCAAGACCTCCGCTGCCGACAGTACGTCGCAATTCTCATTCGTAATTTGACATTTCAAATTGGGAAAAAACATTCTTTTCGGAATCTAGTAAAAGATTTTTTTGGGCTAAAATGTCTGAAATTATGGAATTCTGAATGCTATATTTGTGTTTAAGCTTTTTACCGAACTTGAATTTTTCTCCTTTTTATTCAACCTCAAATGACGTTCTTTTAGAAGAAATGTTTAGCTGCCGCGGGTTATTCCGAGCTGGTTTCTTTAATTTTTTAAAAAAAATCTGAGTGGGGTTTATATTTCAGAATAATTGATTCAGCCAATAACAAAGTTTAAGGTTTGTGTTATAGTTTAGCAGTTTCTTGCTGAGATTTTACGTGGTTTTTTTGTTGTGAAAAACTCAAAATTCGTAATTATCTTGGTCTAGTTTTATTTTTCGGATTACATTGCAGCAAAGGTGCACTAAACTCTGGAATGCAGCAAAAAAAGATGCACTAAACTACGGAATGTAATCGTATGAATGTGTAGATAGGACAAATTAGTTGATCGCGATTTCTGTTAAATCCTGATTTCTTTGGGTTATATTTATGTAGCTCAGATTGAGTGTTCAAGTAGGTGAAAATCTTTGTTATATTACAATTTCAGAATCCAATTAAAGAGAGAACATTTTTAGAATGCTTTGTGAACAGCTTCATTATATAATGATTTGTTTATTTGGGGGAACAAGAAATGGTATTAGATTTTTTTATAGTAAATTTTGGTATTTTTTTTTAATCAGGATATACAAAGGAGAGAAGCAGCATCATCGTCATTGGGCTTAGTGTTCATACTGCACCTGTGGAAATGCGTGAAAAACTTGCAATTCCAGAAGCTGAATGGCCTCGAGCCATAGGGGAGCTGTGCGGTTTGAATCATATTGAAGAAGCCGCTGTACTAAGCACCTGCAACAGAATGGAGATATATGTTCTGGCTCTATCTCAGGATCGTGGTGTTAAAGAAGTGACAGAATGGATGTCAAAGGTGCCCTCTTAAGCTGTGCTGTTTACAATTTTGCATGTTACGAGTATTTAGCGTACAATTTCGGAGGTTGATAGATAAATTAATTTTCGTACGCAAAAGCACGAATTGTTGAACTTATATCCCTTGTCATAACAATGGTTGCTTTTGTTTGCAGACAAGTGGAATCCCTGTTTCAGAGATTTGTGAGCATCGCTTTTTACGGTTTAACAAAGATGCTACACAGCATCTCTTTGAAGTATCAGCAGGTCTCGATTCTCTTGTCCTTGGAGAAGGGCAAATTCTTGCACAGGTCAAACAGGTTGTCAAAGTTGGGCAAGGAGTTGTTGGCTTTGGCAGAAACATCAGCGGGCTGTTCAAGCATGCAATCACCGTGGGAAAGCGGGTTAGAACTGAGACTAACATCGCTGCAGGAGCAGTTTCTGTGAGCTCTGCTGCTGTTGAACTGGCCTTGATGAAGCTTCCTGAGTCCTCACACGCAACTGCCCGAGTGTTGGTGATTGGAGCTGGAAAGATGGGAAAGCTTGTAATCAAACACCTGGTAGCAAAAGGTTGTACAAAAATGGTGGTTGTGAATAGAAGTGAGGAAAGAGTTGCGGCCATTCGTGAGGAGATGAAGGGTGTTGAGATAATCTACAAACCCCTTACTGAGATGCTAATTTGCGCTGCTGAAGCTGATGTCATCTTTACTAGCACAGCATCAGACACCCCATTGTTTTTGAAAGAGCATGTCAAGGACCTTCCTGCTGTTGGTCAAGAAGTCGGGTGTTTGAGGCTTTTCATTGACATTTCTGTCCCTAGGAACGTGGGTTCATGTATTTCGGATGTCGAAACTGCACGAGTTTACAATGTGGATGATCTTAAAGAGGTTGTGGCTGCCAATAAAGATGATCGTCTGCGGAAAGCAATGGAGGCTCAGGCAATTATTGCTGAAGAATCAAAACAATTTGAAGCTTGGAGGGATTCTCTGGCGACGGTTCCTACCATTAAGAAATTGAGAGCTTATGCGGAAAGAATCAGAGCTGCAGAGCTAGAGAAGTGCTTGTCAAAGATGGGAGATGATATCCCAAAGAAAACAAGAAAAGCGGTCGATGATCTTAGCCGAGGTATTGTGAACAAGCTGCTTCACGGCCCATTGCAACACTTGAGATGCGATGGCAGTGACAGCCGGACCCTGAATGACACGCTCGAGAACATGCACGCTCTTAATAGAATGTTCAATCTCGAGGCGGAAATATTGGAAGACAAAATCCGAGCCAAGGTGGAACAAGCCCAGAAGTAAACTTACTATGAAAATTTTCTTTTACAATACGTCTATATTACTTTCCTGATTCCGAATAAGGGTCAACGTCCTCATATTCATGTTTCAGTGTTTGCGTGGGTTGTAACTATTAGTGGAATTGATTGAAAAAAAGTGTTGGTCCTTTGTAAGGACCTTCCAATACATTCGTCGTTGTAAGACACTTTTGCCTAACTCTCATTTGCCTTTCCTTTATGTCTACTGCGTGTCGTTCAGTAGCCATTCGGCTTTGTAGAGAACAAAGTGAGGAATACCAAGATGAGCTTAATCTATGTACGGAGTTCTCTCTTTTTTCTTTTTTCTTTTCCTCTCTAAAGGTCTGTATCTTTGGAACTTTTTGTTGTTGTAATTAATTCACTGATATTAAAACATTGAGATGGTACGATGTCTATGTTTATATGCATCTTGAAATTTCCTGTTCAGTTCTGTTTCTGAAGCCACGTGATTTGTGGATGTTGTAACACCAGTGATAAATTGGTTTATTGAGGAGTGGTCATTTCACGACCAGAAGAATAGGCCGTCCACCCGAATGGGTTGAACAGGAAAGAACATCCCAAACAAGCCGAGCACTTTGTCCAAACAGGTCGAACAGGGAAGAACATTCTGAACAAGCTGAGCACCTGGTCTGAATAGGCCGAACAAGGAAGAACATCCCAAACATGCCGAAATGGAGAAGAACATTCCAAACAGGCCGAGCACCTAGTCCAAAGAGGAAAGAACATCCCGAACAAGCCGAATAGGCCGACAGGGAAGAACATCCCGAACAGGCTGAGCACCTGGTCTGAACAGGCCGAACAAGGAAGAACATCATAAACATGCTAAGCACTTGATCCGAGCCGACCGAGCACGTGGTCCAAGCACTTGGTCCGAGCACTAACCGATCGACTGATGGAACATGACAAGTTCCCCATCAACCAACTGACTACCACGTGGCCTTCTCTCCACAATCCCAATGTGGTCTCCCCCACTAATAGAGGCGCGACACGTGTCATATGACTAATACAACTTTACACTTGGGTAACCCCCGAGTTTCGGGTCGGATTTATACACTACCTGGATCCAAAAATACTTTATAAATACCAAGCTCATTAGCTCACAAAGGTACGGATATTTTTTACACCTACCTCTGCCCACTCATTTGTTGCTCCTAACCAGAATACTGACTTGAGCGTCGGAGTACTATTGGCAGACACCACACCGGTGTCCCCCTCACTCTGAGGCCATCTCCTCTTTCGTTGTTGGTTAGAACAGTGCAAGGGATCCATCATGAACAATGATAGGACCCGAGCAGAAGAGTGCTAGGAATCCGACCAGAAAAGGTGGAGAACAGAGTCCGATTACCGTGCGCTTTCGCATGCTGTGTTGTGCCGAATTTCAGCATCAACATGGTTTATTAGCTTTTGTTACAAACTTGCGTTGTAAAATCGGCTTGCAAAGTGAGGGGACCTAAGGACTTATAAATCTATTAATCATTTTATATTTATTCTATGTGGATCTCTTGGTATCTAACACCATCGCGCTCTACAACCGCCGTTCACAGTGGCCCATTTCCCAGCTAGGTAACTTCACGAATCCCCCATTTCATTGGGTAGCGCCCTCTCTAGTTCGCCCCATCTGTAACGACAATCACAAAACTATAGCCCATATTACGTCTGATAACAATCCACCACATTTGGGTTCAAAATAATAACGGTCCACATTATCGATATTGGCTTAGAGGTAGTTCTCCCCTCTTCGGCGGCTTCACTTGGCAATTAATGTTCGACTCTTTGACGGCTCCGCCATTGCATCTTAGTCTAGCATATAACGCAATCGCTTCGACCTGAATCCGTGACGTGGTGGACTAACTTTGATATAAATATTACAAACCCATTAGGTAGAACTCACTTACAAAATCGGCTTGCAAACCTAAGGGCTTAGAAACCCACAAATCATTTTATATTTGTTCCATGTAGAGGAGCTCTTGGTATCTAAGAATACGTTTGGTAAGGAGATTCATACCATGATTTGAATCATGGTTCATTGTTTGCTATAATGTTTTCTCTCATAAAAAATACACATAAATAAAAAATAATTCTAATCTCATTATTTTAATCCATAAACCAAACATCTCTTAATAGTTTTTTTGAGAATGTCATCCTCTTTTCATTTCTTTTTCTTTTTTTTGGGCTCTTTACTCTGTATTTGGGCCTTATCCTGGATATGCAGAGAGCAGACTAGTAACAAGCTTGGCCCATGATAAAAGTGGCAGTGTTTCTACGGCGTTTGGACTTTTCAGTTTTTCAAAAGGGTTACTCTGTTAGACTGTTACAGGGTCAATCTTCATATTCCTGGATTGGAAATTACAGAGAGCCTAAATTGTAATACACTGAGTTTACAGTAGTGATGTTGTGTTATATACTATTCTAAAAGAAAAACAAAAGCTTGAAAGAGATGGATGCTTTTAGGAAAGCCATGAGATTTTATTTCCTGTTGCAGCTTTTTTACATACAAACCATAGCTGGCCAAGCCAAATAAGTCCCTTATGCTCGTTTCATCTATACGCTTGTTGTTTGACAATATTATTTGTAGGTACAACCGACATGTGAGTCCCATAAATTGTGACAATATTATTTCGCCCTTTTTTTTTTTTTTTTTTGTTTTGGGCCCCTCTGGGAGGCACTAGTAAATTATTTTGTTGGAATATTTTGGAATTATCATTTTGTCACTGAAGGAGTTTGAAATTTTCATAACTGTTTGTAAGCATAGTTGGACTAATACTCAGTTATGCATTATCTTAAGCAAGTGTAAATGCTCATCATTATTTAAGTAAATAAATAAGCAATAGTACAAAATCTCACTCTTTTACTTTCACTACGGAGCAGTAGGGGACACCATCACCGTCACACCAGTCACCAGTCAGAAAAATTATTGAACATCTAGGAAAGCACCAAGAATTATGAGTTTGTTTTCTTTTGAAAAAAAAAAAAGAAAAGAAAAGAAAGAAAAAAAAAAACTCACGGGGGATCACAAGACCAAACATAAGTTTTGCCGCGTAAATTATAGTTTTCGATGTACCATGCAACGGAAATCCCATTCATTAAATAGTAACAAGAAATAATTTTGTCATGTAAGCTATGCTATTTTTTTTATTTATCATGCGACTGAAATCTAAAATAATTTCAGCATTTAAAAAAAAAAAAAAAGTGAAACAGGATGAAAATAAAAGCTTATGCTTGAAAATATTTTGATTTAATCGTGACCCAACACGAAAAATTGAACTACACGAGTAACATACACATCGAACCGAGTAGTCTAACTAAGACATCAACAAGTAGTCACACAATCACTCACTGTCGGAACCTTGTTATAGTTTTCGTTCCATTTTGATTATTCCTCAATATGTTCAAAAAACCTGTTGTTACCATCAAGCAAACGTGGACCTGTTTGGCTCCCCAGAACCACATCGAAACCTCCATTCAAAGCAAAATTTTCGTACCATAATAAACACACTACAGCCATTCCGGTGGGCCGTGGCCCTCCAAATTAAGCTTTGTCAGATTACACGGCCATTTTTGTATGGATGTGTGGCAATGTTTTGTACTGTACATTTTGATCCCCCAGGCCATAACATCCTGGCCGTTGGTTGGTCTAATCCTGATCTTACGATTGATTGTAATTTGTACTATGGTACCGAAAATGGGCCCTCTTTTTGGGGAAATATGTCGCTATTTTTATGTGACTGAGCAAATTAAGAGTGGCACATTGGGCTGGACCAAAAGCAGGTACGCTTCAGAAGGTCAGATGAGGATAGAACTAAAAAGCATTGCTGGGATATTTCGTATTTTGGTTTGTTTTGTTGCCCCACTGCATAGAATATTAAAGACACGGAGACTCTTTTTTAGATGTAAAAAGTACTCTATAATAGAGTTTTTTTTTTTTTTTTTTTACCGTATATTATCAAATTCGATCAAATTACTATAGTTTTCTTAAGATAATATAATTATGAATTCATTTCACAGTTAAAAATTGAATACCATTTTTATACTCCATATTGACACGTTCACTTAGAGATGTAGTCTCTACAAAAATGGACAACCGGTAGTTTCTTACTTTTCAACCGTGATATTTGTATCAGAATCTGTCTGATATGTATATTTTTTTAATCTAATGTGATTTTGATCATATGAGCCTACCAGAAAAACTCACATTTTAATAACAAAATAACATACTTCTAGAACAATATATAGGTCATAGATGTGTACGATTGTACTATGATTCTATGGTAATTTGAACATAGTCATATTTGTGACGGTTCTAATTTCTAATAAGGTAGTTTGAACGTAGAATTGCCCTATTAGAGAACTCTATTAATCATGCAACTTAGTACGTCTAATCGTCTATACTAGTTATTACCATGCATTTGAAGTTTGGTTCAATGTACCATAAGTCTATAATGATACATAATCCTATGAGAACAATTGCTGTTAAAAGTTTATCTTGTTTATGTTAGAGTCAAAAGGTTTATAATTTCAATAGACAGACATTCCAATAGGAAGACCACAAAGCTACTTTTTTCCCTTTTCTTCTTTAAATACAACAAATAAAACAACCAAAAATTTTTAAAAAATAAAATAAAAAAAAGTGTGATACAAATTATAGGAGTAAAAGGACATCATCATGTTTCTCAGAGGGGAGTCAGCTTCTCTTATCATTCAAAAATAAAAAAGGCAACGATTTTAACAAAAGGGCAATAATTCGTAATCCAAGTTACTCCAATCATTGTGCCTACCATAAGAAAACCCAAGCCAAAAAACTTTCAGGATAAAAAGAAGCAACTTTTTTTCTTCTCTATATCATTCATCATTTAAAAGCAAAACAAAAGCTAAATAAAGCTACACAAGCGATGGCACTAATATAAAAGAAGATCATCATTTACAAATTTCTTTTTGGGTGACGATGAAAATCCCTAGAGCAGTACAAGTTCACTTCAGCATTCTACTTCAAATCCCAAATCTGAAACCTCAAAAGAGACTTTTGTGTGGCATTAAAAGTGAAAAAGAAAAGAAAAATTCCAAAGCTCCAAAAAAGGGACAAGAAGTAGACCCATTGGGTTGCCTCTCTCTCTCTCTCTCATAAAAGGCCCGCGCCGTCTGATACCAGCTTGTCCCTCTTGTATCATTGGCCACAACTTCTCCCTCTGTCCTTTTTTTTTAATTTCAGAAAATTATATAAAAGACATTTTTCATTTATTTCCTAAAAAAAAAAAAATAACACATTAGAATCTAGCGTTTTCAAAGCCGTGCAAGTCGCTGACTCTATTCAACGACTTCTTCATGAGAGCCACTTTAGCCAGCTTCTCAGCCGCGCGCCAAGCCGAGGTTGGCGTCAGCGGGTCCCCATTCTCATCCACAACTGTCAACGTCTCCCTCTCGCCCCCTCTCCGCCGTTGGATCATCCCCATCATCATCTGATGATGATGGTGATTCTGGTTCTGCTGATCCACCTGATGCTGTCTCCTCCAGTGAAGCTCCGCCAGCTCGGCTTCCAAGCCGCGAATGCACTCCTCAGCCGAGTCCAGACTCGACTGCATCAGCAGTGCGCGAGCTGAAGCCAAGAGATGATGAGCACTGGTGAAGTCTCCACCGCTTTCCACCAACCGTCGCGACTCCGCGACGGCGCGAGTCGCTATGAAGACGTTCCTCAGCCGCTCGATCTTCGGTCTGGATGATCGGACGGACAGCGGTGGTGGAACCATGATTCCCTGCTCTTTTCCGTACACGACCTCCTTCGTCGCCGGATCCTTGTAGAGGCACCGCACGGACATTACTCGGTGGGTCCCCGCAGCCGCTGTCGGGAGTCTGAGCTCCACCAGAAGCTCTCTCTCTTCCTCCGCGTAGAGATCACCTATCCGCACAGATCCCGAGCCCAGCGCCGTCGGACGGCCGGTGGAGCAGGAGTAGACGGAGGAGATCTCAGCGTCGCCGGAGGGGAATCCGAGCTGGATTCTCAAATCCTGCACGACGACGCTCAGCAAACCTCCGACGCACTTCGCAAAGGCGTTCTCAGCCGGCTCATGGCTGTGGCTGAAGCCGTTTTTCCCGAAGCCGAAGGCGTGGACCGGGATCTCAATGTGTGCGAACCGCGTGGACGACCCGTTCGGCGGCTGCCGTTGATTGTTGTGGTGGTGGGCCCCCCCCCCGCCGCCGTCGTCCTGGCCGTCGGATAACAAAATGATACTCGCGACGGGATTTCTCTCCCTGCGATCCTCCAGAACCCTCGTGGCCTTCCTCAATGCGTCGCCGACGCTTGTCCCTTGGCCGCAGACGAGCCGGTCGACGATACGCCGAGCCGCGCGCTGGCCCTGCGACGTCATTCTCCTCAAGGGAAGTAGCCTCTTTGGCGCAGCCGAGAAAGCCACGATCGAGAGTCGGTCAGCCAAGCCGAGAGAGGAAATGACCAATCGCATGGCGCGCTTCAGCATCTGGAGCTTGGCACCGGTCATGCTCCCGCTCGCGTCAAGTACCACCACCAAGTCGACCGGTGCGCGGTGAGCTGAATCGCCTCTGTTGCGTGCCGACGGTTGCGGCGGAGGCGGAGCCTTCACTCTCAGCGCCACCGCGTAGGTCTGGTGGCTACTGCTGACGGAAACCACAGCAGCTTCCGGAAGCAATCTCACTTGCACATTGCTCCTCAAATCTCTGGCATTATCGATACGAGCTTCGTTGGAGAATTTAGTCGAACAGGACGGGTTAGGATTGACGAAGAATCCTTGGAACTCTTCAACATCTTCCTCTTCTTCATCGGCGTCCTCATCAGCTTCCGGAATAGGACTAATCTTAGCGTTTGCAGTGGAAGAAAGCAGAGGCTCGTCGTCATCGTAAGACCGGATTGTTTGTTGCATCGTCGCTCTCGGCGAAGGCGAAGATTCGACAATCTTTTTATCCTCAGGGTTAGGCTTAACCACTTTATCCTTGTCCTCTTGTTCTTCTCCGGCAGATTCAGGATTAAGGAGATGATTATTCTTGTGTACGGCGAGGAGAGGAACGTCTTTCCAGGTGGCGTTGCAGACAGGGCAGACGAGGCTTCCATGCTTCCTGACATGGGCGGCGATGCATGGAAAATGAAAGGCATGGCCACATTCCGCCGTGTAAATGGCCGTCCCTTGCCCAGTCTTCACGCTGCTCAAGCAGATTCCACAGCTACTCTGCAAAATCAACCAAACAATAAATCAAATTGATAAAAAAAAAAAAAAAAACAGAGCGAGTAAATTAACAACAATGCTATACTGTATACAAAAGGAAAAACATAGTTCTGTTTTGCTTACTCTGAATTTGAAGCTATTTTTGAAGAGGGACAACTTGAGAGGAGATCGAGGAGAAGTTGGGTTAGATCCGAGTAAGGAAGTTCTTGGGCTCTTGGAACTACTCCTCGGAGTATTCGAACTGGTCTTACATTCGAGTATTCTCGGGCTTTCGGCGACCGGTGTGGATTCGGACGATGAATTTGTTCGGCAGAGTAAGCTGGGAGTTGAAGGGTTGCTTCCGCCGGAGAAGAAGCTCAACCTGGTGCGGCTTCTGGGGCTGGGGCTAGGGCTTGTGCTCCGACCTGATGATTGTTGCCTTTCGGAGACTCTCGAGTCTGGTGAGTCTCGGGAAACGGTTGTGCAAAAAGCTCTTCTCCACCCAGTTCCCATTTGATCGTTTTCTTTTGCTTTCTAAAGAAACTTAACCACGTACAGAAAAGCAGAGATTTTTTTTGCTATTCTTTTTATAAAGAAGTGATATTTACGGTGGGCTTGTTTATATTTGAAGGAAGAGGAGGAGGAGGGGTTTCGTTCTGATCGATCTGAAGAATTGGCAGAGAAGACAATAGGGCAGGATCGAAGTCAGCGAGAATAGCATGGGATCAACCGTGAAAATATAAAAGCAATGAGGACAAAGCAATGGGATTAAAGATTCAGACACCCCAAAGAAAAACCAACTCAGAAGCCCACCCTTCTCTCTGTTTTACTCTCCATTTTTCTCTCTCTCTCTCTCTCTTTCCCTGTTTTTATTTTGGCCTTTGGTGTTGATTGACAACTCCCACCTCTTTATCCCTCCCCAAAAACGAAACAGATGTATGAAGAAAGACCCAAAAGCCAAATCGAATTCAACGAGATCCACTGCTCTTCTTTCCTCTCAATCCCTTTATAACTCATACTCATATATAGATTGTATTTATTATATATATATACACACACGTTGGAAAATGTAAATTTTAAGACTTTTTTTCTTATTATTATTATTTTTTTACTCTTGGGTAACTGCCATGTGTTGCTTTTTTTTTTCTTTTTTACACACCAGTCAACGGCCTCTCCTATACAGAGCACGTTATGGCCACCAACCTGCTACCTCATCCTACATGCGTTATATGCTCCATGCGATTTAAAAAAAAAAAAAGAAAAAAAAAAAAAAAAATTCTTAACGCGCTAGCTGAGATACGTGTGGAAACACTTCTCATCTAGAAGCACTCAATGGTTGCATAAACGACTTTCGTTTATTCGGCTCAGTGTTGTTTTAAGTGAGGAACAAGGGTGCAGAGCTTACAGGTCTACTCAAATGCTCGTGCTGCTTGGGGGACGATAGATAGGCGTCAGTGTGTACGAACTGAAGCCAGTCTCACCTAGGCCTTGTAAGTTGTAACTAGCTGTTGGATTATACCCATTTCATTGTGTCATTATAATACTAATCTGTAATCTTATAATAGCTTCTACAATTCAAAACACTCGTATTCTACCATGTGTGCTTGTATCTTTGTTACCCAAAAAAAAAAAAAAAAAAGTAAAAAAATAGTAAAGAAGACACATTGAATATTTTTTAACCCATTTTTGGTCTCATCCGGCCTACTTAAATATCTAAATCGGACTAAAGGTTCAAGTTTTAAGTGTAGGTGGGCGGGACCTGACCTGACTTGATTAGTTTTTTTTTTTTTTTTCTTTTTAATTTTTTCCTTATAAAAAGTGGTGTGACCTTGTCCATTTAAGTTTTCAAATTGAGTTAGCCCAGTCATATTCTTCTCGGTCCGCTTTTACCATTTCGGAGTCGGGTAGCTCTCATTTACATCTCTACCGACATAGTAGAGTATGCAAATCGAAACAAATTATAAAAGAGAAGCCTAAATTATATTTTGTTTTGATTTTTATCTAATTATGAACTATGTAGACGTATTTTAAAATGCCCTGTACCAAACTATAAAAGTGCTTAATAATTCCATACATCAGAAGGGATTGCTAATTATACGGATTCTTGAAATGGATGACCACTATAATATTAAAGTTTGGACACCAAATACAACGTTGGCACGACTTCATCTCTTAAAATAATAATAATTTACGTAGTCTATGACAGAAGCACAAGCTGTACAATATAAAAGCTGTAGGTTTTGCACTCAAATTTCCACGCACTTTTGCACATTAAAACTGGAGTGTGTAGGGGGCTATATACAAGGACAATATAGAACTGCTGAGTAGGGGTGGTAACTCTGAAGTAAAAAAACTGTCAAAAACCTTTGGGGTCAGAGCCAAGAAAAAGCCGAGCTCTCTGCAGGGCAGTTCATGGAGGGTAGGTGACACTAATTAACCATTACTGTAGAAAAGTGTAACATTAACTGCAATTTGGTGGAGAGAGACAGAGATAGTTTGTTAATTTTATTAATTCGAGTTTAAAATTTAAATTTTATTATAATATAAAATTTTTAAAAATAATTAAATTTAATTTTTTTATTATAATAAAAAATTATCACATAAAATTATATCTTAATTTAAATTAAAATTTTAAATCAGTAAATTAAACAAACTGAAAGAGTAGAGTTTCCAGCGTTGGAACTCAGGGTCAGACATTCACATGACCGGCTGTTTCTTAGGCTTGTCAGTTGTTCTCTCTCCACCAAAGCCGCTGATTCATACAACTAGTTTTTTTACTGCCGTTTGGAATGGATAGATAGAGAGAGAATCCGTTATTAATTAGAGTTAGGAAATTCCAAAATTAGAAGTACCCTCCTAGTTGACACACGAGTTTTTTTAACAGTAATATTTTCGTTAATTCTGTTAATTTATCATATTTTTCTCTATATGGTCTGATTATAAAGTGACTTAGTGGTCATAACTGCATCTCGTTCTTACCACCCTAACACAAAATTCTCTCAAGATTAATACAAAATGCCAATAATATGAGATTTGAGATGGCCAAGGCCTTGTACTCTGGTCTCATTCGATTCGCTCATTTAAGTCGAGAATTTGATTAAAAAGTAAATTCATACGAGATATAATATTGTAATATAAAAAGTTAAATTTAAATTTTTAAGAGAAAAAATGTTGTAATAAAAACTCGAGGTGTAATTCGAACTAACGAGACGAACTAGTTATTGTTTAAGTTAAAGAAAATTCTCTGGCCGTTTAAAGGTGAATCTCCTATTAAGGTGAGGAAAAAGAAAAAACTTTACCGGTAGATGACACTCTTAACCATTTAATTTAATCAGCACACATGTCTTAATAAGCTAATTTAATATATTAGTTTAAATGGTATCCTATCACAAAATCCTCCGTTAAGTTAAAGTCATAAATAAGATTAGTGGCTAAAGGTGTGAATATATATACTAGCAGTTAGTGGCCGGTTAATGTCTGGAGTATCTTCAACGCTATCCTTCTCTTTTCGTATTTAAATAACTATAATGTCTTGCATCCAAAAGAAAAACAAAAGTTATAGATTTGTAGAGAGATCACATTCTAGGTAATTATTCTTTAAGCGCCTAATCATCCATGATCCACCAAATTTAACCACCTATGCCTTTACATTAATATTTTATTACTGCCAAACTTTTTTACTTCATCAAGATCATCAATAAATACTACTTTATTAGATTATTATTATGACTATGATTTGTTCATTTCTTTTACTTTTGTTGCTAATGAACTACAATAATGGTTTGTGTGCCAATTATATGTGTCATGGGGCCACACCAAGAGTTCTACACGCCTTTCTCATTTTCCTTTTCACAGGATACGAATTCACTCCTTTGTACCATAATAATTACTCAATATACTAGTATCTTAGTAGATACTAGATGGCGTGATACATTATTGAAACTTATCCACAGCAAAAGACTCCAAAATCATTCACATAAAAGAACCATTACAAAAAAAATCATCATCATAACATATAAGAGACTTTGTGATTGAATAAATATTAAAACATAATTAGATTTACAAGCTTTTTTGTGGTACTCATTCGAATATTATAATTATTTTATAATAGCACCAAGTATATGTGAAATACACGCAACACATGTAAATCCAAGAGAAGTAGAGTGTATTTGTACCTTCCCAAAAACAGCATCACAGAGTGACCCGTCTTTTTTGACAGCAAAAGGCAACAAAGCAGTGAATTTGTCATCAACAGTCAATAATTTCAACACTCACGTGGGGTCCCTCTTTTAGGTCATCTCTGAGTGTAACGCCGTTGGGCTGCTAAAACTACAGCTCCTTTTTTTTTTTCTTTATAGCACACTAAGTTATTTTATTTTACCCATAAAATAAGTATTTATAGGGGAGAAAGAGTAAAATAGGTTAAAATTTAAGATAAATTAAAATTAATAGGTCAATAGTTTATATAAGTTAATAAATATATTAAATTAATGTTTTTATCTATAAATTGTAGGGTTATGAACGATAATTTGACAAGTTATTGTCCATAATTATCCATAACTTATCTAGCTATGAACCATAACTTAATAAGTTTGTCCATAACTTATCTGGTTATGAACCATAACTTGACAAGTTATGGCCTATTAATTTCTATAACTAAAAATTAGTCTATATACTTTCTTAAACTTTTCATATCGGTCTATTTTCTACTATTTTCTTATTTTTATTGTTAAATTAATTTTTTGACTAACATATTTAAAAGTGAGTAGCTTTATGTGGCATTTATAAATTTTTAATATAAATATATATATATATATATATCTTACGGTTAAAAATTAATCTAATAATTAAAAATACTTACCACAACTGATAGGAGTAAAATATGTTGCCCTACTTTAAAAATTCTCTCTTTTTTCTTTTACCCACATTTGTTGACGATTTTGAGTTATAACAAAAAAAAAAAAAAAGAAAAAAAAAAACTCTCCAACTTTTTTCTGTCAAATGTCAACTCCTTCCGGGAATAAAGTTAAAAAAAAAATCCAATAGTCTTAACCTAATCATTATTTAAATATTAGAAATTAGCTAATTCTTTCTAAGATCAATTAGTTAGGCAGAGTAAAAAAGCTGCTTTAGCTTTGTAACTATAAATTAGTTGTTTAATATATTGGATAGCTTCCGTGTAGAAGTTGGATTGAATCAATTTTGGGGTTCAATATTCTTTAGGGAAGACTGAAGAGCTAGCTAGTGGTAGGTTTTTGTAGTGTCGTTTCACCGATTCCTTTTGCATTTCTTTTGATTCCCGGGACAACACAACAATCTGTTGGGAAGATGTTTTGGTTGGCCAATGATCAGTGGATAAACATCTTGGAAATGTGGGGGGTTTTGCGTGATGAAGTAGAAGACAGTGGATGTTTTGGCTTTGTAAAATAGGCCAATTGTCAATTTGTTGTTTTTAGATCGCAAAAACCTTGTTCAATCATATGTATTCGTTTGGTGCTAGCTAGGGACACAAATAGATTTTAGGGATGGGAATGCAAATATTGTAATATAATCTTTTTGTCTATTTTGGGTTTAGAAGAGTGTGAATTCGATCCTATGTAATTGTATATATAATTAAAAAAAGAATATCTTGTTGTCTATTGAAGCATCATGAAAATTAAACGTAGATTGTGTGATAGAGTTTTTGTAATACTAAAATAGTTCATTTGATTGTTCTCTAACTATATTACTAATTTTGTAGTAAGGAGTTTTGAGGGTTAAGTAAATGTCATATATAGTTGTTTGCTGCTTCTCTCGCAATAATCAGTCAATTATAATAGGCGTATGAAGTTCCTACAATATTGTACTTTTATATAAATTG